CTCGAGCGGGCCCAGTAAAGTCTCCATTGGAGACTTCGTTGTTACTGTGTTTGGCATATCGAATATGTCACGGAGAGCTTGCCAGGCTCTGCCATGCGGGCGAGATACTCTCAGTAGCTTGCCGGGCTCTCTGAGAGGGGCGGAGGAATCGAACTTGGGTCGGCCATGTTGGCTGCGTGCAAGGCAAACGCCCTTCCGCCGTGATCAAATACCCATCCCTCCACCAGTGCCCATTTCCCACCACCACGGAATCCCAGTATCCCTCCCACCCCCCAGCCCCCTATCCCACCCTGCCTCTGTGGCAGGGCATTCCCTTTTGTTCTCTCTCTCTTATTGGGTGTGAAAACACATCTTTTTTTAATTACAGTTTTTATTTGAAGGTTTTGAAGGAAAGGAGGGAGAGAAAGTGGGAGAGAGTGGAGAATAACACACTCAAGAGAGAACTCGGGCTTCTCCAAGGGCGGAGAGAGCTCCTACACATGTCCCAGTGTTAGACAGGGAAGCATGGAAGTCCCCATCTCAAGAGGAGAGATGCGGGAGACACATGTGCTTGGGCACTGCATGTGCTCAGCCACATGGGCGCAAGCAGCACAGGGGCTCAGGCAGCATATGCGCCAAACACATCATTTTTAATTACTCAAAAATGCAATATTTATGTGCAAACGAATGAAACACAAACACAGAGCTTCTAAGCTGAAGACTATAAAATACTGAAATCAAGAGCCTGTAAATGCCTAGGGTGTTCATGTATTAGAAGATGTCAAACAGTAAGCATGCCAGTTCTCAAACCCATAGAGGCATTTAACACAATTCATATTGGAAAAGAACACTGAAAGGAATGATCTCCCGATTTCAAGATTTGTCAGACAAGTAAAAATAATATAACTAAACCTCGAGCATTATGCTAAGTGAAAAAAATCAATCTTAAAGTCTATGTACAGTATGAGTCCCACTGGATGACACTCTTAAAACAGTGAAATTAAAGTAAAGGAAGAGACCAGCAGCAGCAGGGACTTGGGGCAGGATGAGAGAGGAGGGAGAAGGTGCAGGCTGACAGTGATGCGAAGAGGCAAAAGAGTGGGAGAAGCAGCCCACCTTTCCATAACCAGGCCATTATTCTGGCCGTGATACTTGACTCTGGTCTGCAAGATGCTATCAGTGGGACACAAGGCTAAAGGTCCATGAAATTTCTCCGTATCATTTCCTGCACCTGCATTTTAATCTCTATCTCAAAACAAAAACTTTAATTAAAAAAATAAGACACAAGACAGTTTCCCTCTGGTAAGTTTCCCTCTGGCAAAAGAGTTTCCCTCTGGTAAATCAGGAATGATTCAGGCATTAAATAATTAATGGATTGTAACAAATTATAAGTAATTCAAAAGAACATAAATCTATACTGGTGGAGATGAGCACATGGATAGTCCATAGCTAGATCGACAGACTGATGAAGAGACTGCAGGCAGACAAAAGGCCTCTTGCTTACAGCAAAAACGGAAAGCCAACAGGCAAATACTGAAAAAGTGCTGAGTTAAAATATTATTTCACAATCATCACAGTCTATATAGGTTACAAAAGAACTAGCAAAGAATACCGAATTGGCCAAGGGGTCTGATAAGAACAGTAAGTGTTCTTTTGGACGTGGGCCAGTCTCTGAGGTGTGAGATGGTATCTTATTGTGGTTTTGATCTGCATCTCCCTGATGATTAATGATGTAGAGCATTTTCTCATGTGCCTTTTTACCATTCGGATTTCTTCTTTGAGAAAGTTTCTGTTCATTTCATTGCCCCATTTTTTTATGGGGTTGGATGTTTTCTTCTTCACATCCAAAAGAACAAAAACAACCAATGCTGGCACAGATGTGGCAAGAAAGGGACACTCCTTCACTTTTGGTGGGAATGCCGACTGGTTCAGCCCTTTTGGAAAACAGTATGGATGATTCTCAAAAAATTAGAAATTGAGCTCCCATTTGACCCAGCAATACCACTCCTGGGAATATATCCCAGAGAGGCAAAAAAGGATAGTCGAAGTGACATCTGCAATTGTTTGTTCATTGCAGCACTCTTTACAATAGCCAGAAACTGGAAAAAACCTGAGTGCCCCAGAACAGATGACTGATTAAAGAAACTTTGGTACATCTACACAATGGAGTACTATGTAGCTGTTAGAAAAGATGAAGTCATGAAATTTACATACAAGTGGTACTGCATGGAAAGTATCATGCTAAGCAAAATGAGTCAGAAAGAGAGGGATAGACATAGAAAGATTGCATTCATCTGGGGGACATAAAGTAACAAAATAGGAGATTAATACCCAAGAATAGCCGAGATCAGTACCAGGAGGATTACTCCATGGCTTAGAGGCCAGCCAGGCATTCTAGGGGAAAGGGCAGCTCAGATAGAAAAGGGAACACCAAATACAGGGTGTTGGGAGGATCCTCCCAGGAGGGGAGATGCATGTTGAAAGTAGACTATGGACCGAACATGATTGCCACTCAATGCCTCTTTTGCAGATCACAACACCCAAAAGGAGAGAGAGAACAAAAGGGAATGCCCTGCCACAGAGGCAGGGTGGGATGGGGGGATGGGGGTGGGAGGGATACAGGAATCCATGGTGGTGGAAAATGGGCACTGGTGGAGGGATGGGTATTTAATCATTGTATAATCGAAACCCAAGCACAAAAATTTGTAAGTCTACAACTGTACCTAATGGTGTTTCACTAATAAAAATTAATAAAAAAAAGAAGAACAGTAAGTGTGGTTTCACTTAGATTTCATGAAATAAAGCAGAGGTTCTTTTGTTTTTGTTTTTGTTTTGGGCCATATCCAGTGGTACTCAGTGATTACCCCTGGCTCTGCACTCATGAATCACTTCTGGTGGTGCTCAGGGGACCATATGGGAGGTCTGGGATCAAATCCAGGTCCGAACTGTGCAAAGCAAATGCCCTACCTGTAGTACTAACACTGTGGGCCCAGAGCAGAGCTTCTTAAACCGTGGGTAATAATCCCTGGGGTCACATTACAATGTGGGTGGTTGGAAATAAAAAAGCCAAACTGGCAACCGTAGAAGGTTTCTGAATGCACAGCGACCAAAATTAATTCCAAATGAACACTTCATAATAAAACTGAGATGCTTCTGGAAGGACTGGTTTGTGCTGAATTTCTTAGGCAAACAGGAGTGTGAGGGGGGGAAAGATTTAAGCTGCCCTGAACAAAGCCAGGATAACCATACAGGAAAATCATCCATCCCTGACATAGATGGCCACAGTGGGCATCATCAAAGTGAGAAAGCTAAATACTGGGTCTCCAGATGGGACCCACTGAGGATACAACGCTGTCAATGTATGGCTGGGAATGTAGAACTCACATTCTACATTAGACAGACCCAAAATAAAGAATACTGTCATTTTTAAAAAAAGAACTAGTTTCCATTCATGCCCTTTGAAAAAAAAGGTAGATTAAATCTTTCATGTCCTTAGAAAGATTGCATTCATCTGGGGGATATAAAGTAACAAAATAGGAGATTAATACCCAAGAATAGCCGAGATCAGTACCAGGAGGATTACTCCATAGCTTAGAGGCCAGTGGCCATTCTAGGGGAAAGGGCAGCTCAGATAGAGAAGGGAGCACCAAATAAAGGGTGTTTGGAGGATCCTCCCAGGATGGGAGATGCATGCTGAAAGCAGACTATGGACTGAACATGATTGCCACTCAATGCCTCTTTTGCAGACCACAACACCCAAAAGAGAGAGAGAACAAAAGGGAATGCCCTGCCACAGAGGCACGGTGGGATGGGGGGAGATGGGTGTGAGAGGGATACTGGGATCCATGGTGGTGGAAAATGGGCACTGGTGGAGGGATGGGTATTTGATCATTGTATAATCAAAACCCGAGCACAAAAATTTGTAAATCTACAACGGTACCTCATGGTGTTTCACTAATAAAAATTAAAAAAATAAAAATAAAAAAATAAAAAAAATTAAAATGCCATCAATAGGGGAAAAAAACCTTTTATGTCTTGGTCTGGAGAGATAGTAAAGGGATTAAATGTTTGCCTTGCAGCTGGCCAATTCTGGTTTGACACCCAGAATACCACTAGCAAGGATTCCCTGAGCACAGAGCCAGGAATAAGCTTTGTGCACTGCAGGGTATGGCCTAATATGGCCCAACCCCCTCCTCAAAACGTTCGTATCTTTTTTTTTACATACATACACACACAAGCAATTTCATTAACACACAGGGACAAATGGCCCATTTGCAGTATCCACAGTTCAGACTGCTGGGACAACTTGATGGTTTAGTCTGTTAAGCAAAAGTGACTTCTGGTGCAGGCCGGAAACCTTCCTTTCAGTGAGACTCTGCTGGCCAAGAAGGTTCTAGTGAGAACAATGCTGCTGAGCCAGCCTGTGTTAATAAATGAGACAGGTAGCTTGGCCCACAGGAGCCCTGGGCTGAGCGCAGGGCCTCCACACAGGTGCATGCTCCCGTTCTAGTTGCTGGAGTGCTGAGCTCTCTCTCTTTGGTGTCTCCAGGAGCTCTCTGCTTGTCCACTGCCACTCTGGCTCACCCCTGCTGCTGGGGCTCAGGTAACCTGGACGTGAAGCCACCAGAGAGCAGCCCCGAGTCTGACTGCCACGGCATTAAGTGCCTCCCCACATTCCTGGAGCAACTCCCTGTGAGGACCCAGGCCTGGCAGGTCTCTGGGCCTGCTCTCTGGGGGATGTATGTCTGTGTGTGTTTATGCATCTGTGTCTTATGTGGGTATGTGTCTATGCATATTTGTGTTTTATATGTGCATGTATCTGTATGTGTTTGTGAAACTGTCTTAATAAGTATGTGTGTCTATATGCGTTTTTCAAGATTGCCTCATTCTGCACTCATCTAATTTGTAATGTATGTTTGTGAAGCAGGAAAAAGAGCGACTCCCCCTGGACAGATGAGGATTTTTCAGTGAGCAGAGGGACCTGCAGGGGTCCAGGAGCCCCGCCCAGGACTGCTGCTTACCTCGGAGGCAATAGAGGTGAAGCTGCTGCTGAAGTGCACGTGCTTGTGGACTTCACTGCCGTTGGCCGTCAGGAGCCAGTCCCCCAGCGCCCGCATCTCCCCCACAGACCAGTTGCCATGGCTCTGATTCAGCAGGAGCTCAGCCAGGTCCCAGCGGTAGGCTGGCGTGGCCCCCACCAGAGCGATGAGGATGGCCTCTGTGGCCACATAGAGCTGAAAGAGCAAACACAAAGCCAGCTGAGCTATACAGGTGCTCTGGAAACTCCCACTTGCTTGTTTGATGTTTCCGTGAGCGAACAAACCCCATCATCAATACAGGAAGCTCACTCAGGCTCCACTGCCCACAGCGGCATCAGTGATCCACCTCTGAAGTTCCCTGCATCTTTCTGAGGAGTTTCCCATCCACATCTCAGACACTGATGTTGAGTCCACCCACACCACACACAGATCAACACACTGAATAAGGACCCGGGGCCACATTATAGATTCCGGGCTTTTTTTTTTGTTATTACTATTATTATTATTTTATATGTTGGGTTTTGGCGTTATACCTGGCTGCACTTAGGGATTACCTACCAATACCTGGGTGAACATATTTGGTGCCAAGAATCGATTCGAGTGGAACATGTGCAAGTCAAGTGTCTTAACTTCGTATTATCTGTCCCCACAGACTCTGATTTTTTTATTTTTAAATTTTATTTTCATAAGGTTGTTCACATTGATTAGAGTCAATATTTCAACATCAATCTCATCACCATTACACCTTGCCACTGCCATTATTTTGAATTTTCCCACCACCACTCAAGCCTGCCTGCCACAGGCAGATGATAGATAATATATTTTCTATTGCTTGCTATGAATATCATGAAATGTCATATGGCTGCAAAAGCGGCCACGCACTCCTGGAATTCTAAAATTGTAAATAATTGGGGTCCGGCGACATCTCTGCAGTGAGCGAATCCATTCCGAGATTCATTTGTGAGTCTCTGGATCAAGGCCATTAATGGCATCCAGAGACAATTCGTGGGCATGACAGTCAGGATGATGAGGGGGCAGAGAGACAGGAAGGACTGGCCAGTCCCTGCCACTGCCATGGGGCCTGGATAGACTCTGATTTTAAGAACCAGCATTTCACTATGTGACTGCAAGGGACAATGAAGTCGTATGATTTGCTGCAACTTGGATGGACTGCTTGGTAATCAAACTCTGTAGTCCAAAGTCAAGGGCTCACCACTCTTCCATACTGTCTACTCCCTATTTTCATAAATATAGTATACAACTTAAAAAAAATTAGAGATTAAAAAATCCCAGGTACAAGCATTCATTTTAACTTTTTAAAATTTTATTTATTTATTTAATTTTATTGAATCACCATGAGATAGTTACAAGCTTTCATGTTTGAGTAACATCCATACAAGTATGATCAAACACGCAGCCATCCCTCCACCAGTGCACATTCCCCATCACCAATGTCCCCAGTATACCCCCCTTTCCAACCCTCCCCCTGCATCTATGGCAAACAATTTCCCCCATACTCTCTATCTACTTTTGAGCATTATGGTTTGCAATACAGATAATGAGAGATTATCACATTTGGTCCTTAATCTACGTTCAGCACACATCTTCCATCCTGAGTGATCTCTCCAACCATCAATGACTTAGTGATCCCTTCTCTATCCCAGCTGCCTTCTCCCCCGGCTCATGAGACAGGCTTCCAACTATGGAGCAAACTTCCTAGCCCTTGTGTCTATTGTCCTTGGGTGTCAGTCATGTTTTGTTATTTTACACCCCACAAATGAGTGCAGTCCTTCTATGTCTGTTCCTCTCTTTCTGGCTCATTTAACTTAGCATGATACTCTCCATGTCCATCCACTTATAAGCAAATTTCATAACTTCATCTTTCGTAACAGCTGCATAGTGTTCCATCGTGTAGATGTACCAAAGTTTCTTTAACCAGTCATCTGTTGTCGGGCACTTGGCTTGTTTCCAGATTTTGGCTATTGTGAACAGTGCTGCAATGAACATACAGGTGCCGATGTCATTTCTACTGTGCTTTTTTGCACCCTCGGAATATATTCCCAGACCCATTTTTTAAAATAATTTTTCATTTTATAATTTTAGCTATAGTCATTGCTTAATCTAAACATTGTTTCTCCTAAGAAGAGATATTTCACTTGATTGATTCAAAATCTGCTGATTACTTTTGCTGCTGTCACCAACCAGGCTTCACACTCAGTCACAGTTGAGATCTAGGCATTCATTTCAGGTCAGGTAATAGTAGCATTCATGGCAGGAGGATTATTTCAAGCTTAACACCCAAGAATGGCTGAGATTAGTACCAGGAATTTTACTCCATGGCTTGGAGGCCAGCCACACATGCTAGGGGAAAAGGGAGCTCAGATAGAGAAGGGAGCACCAAATAAAGGGTGTTGGGAGGATCCTCCAGGGGTGGGAGAAGTATGCTGAAAGTAGAGTATAGACCAAACATGATTGTCACCCATTGCCTCTTTTGCAAACCACAACACCCAATAAGAGAGAGAGAGAGAACAAAAGGGAATGCCCTGCCACAGAGGCAGGGTGGGATGGGGGGGATGGGGGGGGTGGGAGGGATACTGGGATCCATGGTGGTGGGAAATTGGCACTGGTGGAGGGATGGGTATTTGATCATTGTATAATTGAAACCCAAGCACAAAAATTTGTAAGTCTACAACTGTACCTCATGATGTCTCACTAATAAAAATAAAAAATAAAAAACTTGTGTGTATATATATATATATATAAAATATATATGAAGAAGGGCTTGGAGTGAAGTACAGTGGATAAGGTACCTGTCTTGCAACAGCCGGCAGACCTGATTTCGATCCCCAGCACCTTATGTGGTTCTCCAAGCCCAACATCAATGATCCCTGGTGAGAGAGCCAGGAGTAAGCCCTGAGCACCACCAGCTATATTCCCTCTACCCCTAAAAAAGTATTAAGAAAATATAGGATTAATCTGTTACACTGTTACATCTTATTTTTAAAAATTCCTATAAATCTGTCACTCTCTTTCTGACTCATTTCACTTAGCATGATAATTTCCATTTCTATCCATTTATAAGCAAATTTCATGACTTCATCTCTCAAAACAGCTGCATAGTGTTCCACTGTGTAGATGTAACAAAGTTTCTTTAACCAGTAATCTATTCTAGGGCACTTTGGTTACTTCCAGATTTTGGCTATTGTGAACAGTGCTGCAATGAACATGTAGATACAGATGCTCATTTGTGGAGTATAGAATAACATAACATGAGGCCGACACCCAAAGACAGTAGGTACAAGGGCCAGGAGGATTACCCCATAGCTAGAAGCCTGCCTCATGAGCAGAGGGGAGAAGGCAGCTAGAACAGAGAAGGGATCACTAAGAAAATGATGGCTGAAGGAATCGCTTGGGATGGGAAATGTGTGCTGAAAGTAGATAATGGACCAAATATGATGACCTCTCAGTGTCTGTATTGCAACCATAATGCCCAAAAGTAGAGAGAGAGTATGGGGAATATTGTCTGTCATGGAGGTAGGGGGAGGATGGGAAGGGGGGGTATACTGGGGAGATTGGTGGTGGGGGAATGTGCACTGATGGAGGAATGGGTGTTTGATCATTGTGTGACTGTAACCCAAACATGAAAGCTTGTAATTTTCTCAAGGTGATTCAATAAAATTAAAAAGAAATTCTATAAATTTAGGACCTGATGTATTAAAATGACTTCATAGAATAATTGTTTAAGAACTTGGTGGTGGAGAGATACAGCAAGTAGGATACCTGCCTAGCATGCAGGTGACCTGGGTTCAGTCCCCAGCATCCCATATAGTCCCCAGAGCACCACCGGGAGTGATCTCTGAGTACCAAATCAGGAGTAAGTCCTGAGTATTAATTAGTCTTAAAAACAAAAACAAAAAGTAACTAAGGGAGCACTCCAATGGTACAGCACATGCTCAGCATGAGTGAGGCCTGCAGTTCAACTGCTGGTAACACATTAACACCAAGCAGAGCCAAGAGTGACCCTCTAGCACTGAGCTCCATTGGGTTTTTTTTCCCTTTATTTTATTTTATTTTTTTTTACAGTTGTAGATTTACAATTTTTTGTGCTTTGGTTTCAATTATACAATGATCAGATACCCATCCCTCCACCAGTGCCCATTTTCCACCACCATGGATAATATCCCTCCCACCCCCATCCCCCCATCCCCCCCTGTCTCTGTGGCAGGGCAATCCCCTGTGTTCTCTCTCTCCTTTTGGGTGTTGTGGTCTGCAAAAGAGGCATTGAGTGGCAAACATGTTCACTCCATAGTCTACTTTCGACATGCATCTCCCCTCCTGGGAGGATCCTCCAAACATCCTTTATTTGGTGCTCCCTTCTCTATCTGAACTGCCCTTTCCTCTAGGATACCCGGCTGGCCTCTAAGTTATGGAGTAATCCTCCTGGTGCTGCTCTCAAAGCTCCATTGTTTTATGAGACCAGCAACACCGGGCAGAATAAGGCCCCAAGGGGTGGCTATTGCAACAAATAAACCAGTCAATAAATAAGTAAAGAGGTAAATATTGTGTAGCACCTGATTTCTCAACAGCATATAAAAATTCCCCTACTAAATGGATGAGCTGACCAGGGCACCAAAAGTAGAAGGATTTGCCAAGAGCTCTGCCATCTTTATTCATCAACACCTCCCAGCCCCTTCCACACCACAGTGTAGGGATATATTCAGCTGCCAAGCAGATAAGCTAAAGAGCCAAAGGCAGAGTAATTTATCACTAGTAGATGATGAAATTATTGTCAAGGAAAGAGAAAAGAAGTCATGACATTGTGTGTGTGTGTGTGTGTGTGTGTGTGTAATAAGTGAAAACTAATGTAAAATTCAAGCTGTGATTTTTCCACTCTGTCTAAGACTGGAAGGGTCCAAGGCAACCCCAATCTATTTCAAGTCAAATGACGATGGCTCTCTTGGATGTACAAAGCTGCCACAGGTCAGTGTGGCTGGACAATTTATTACAAAACGCACAGGAAAACATGTTTTTAGATTATTATCAGCTTCCTGGCCCCTATTTTGCATACTGTAAAGGAAGTTTTAGAAAAGGAGGCAGTTAGTTTGTAGAAATAAAACCTTAATAGCAAATATTCAAACCACAGAGTCAACAACACTGGAAACAAGAGATCTAAACTTCAACAACCTAACTGAAAA